ATCTTGGCAAAGATAAAATAAATCAGTTATTAGAGATGAGTTATTAAAACTACTATGTTTAGAAATGTGTTGAGAAAATCTTCTCCCCGTTAAACAGAGATTGGGGAAAAAATAAACAGGGGGGCTTATAATTCTCACTTCAATTGTATATGAAAAATGTGAAATGTCAGAAGTCACTGTGAGTGTATCCTGCAAATTAAGTTTCCCTACGGGGACAAATATGTTAACTAACTAACACTATGTTGTATAAACAGTTTTCTTGGCATTTGACAGGGAAATTATCAAATGCTGACAGAAAATTTTGTTAATTTGAGGGAGAATTTCCTATGTTTATAAAAGGCCCTTTTACACACCTGGCAAATCCATACTTGCACAACAGGTAGTGCTGACTGTAGAGATGTTTTGTTACACTTAGGCCCCGTTTACACTAGTGCGTTTTAGTTTGAAAACGCATAAGTTTTGCTACGGTTACGCCATCCGTCCACACTACGCCGGAGTTCTCGAGCGCCGAAAACGGAGCTTTTCGAAAACGCTGGAGAGGCCGTTTTCATTCTAAAACGCTGCTGCTCCGTCTCAGTGTGGATGGGGAAAGACGAAGACATCTGAAAACGGAGGCGGGGCTGCAAACGTTCGCCTCTCTGATTGGGGCTTTTCCTGAATATTAAGTAGCCCACACACAGTTCAGTCTCGCATCCTCTTCTTGTAAGTTAAGACTTCGCAAGTTTTGATCAAGGCTGCAGTCTCCCCCTTCTCAGTTTGATATGGAAAACATACAGAGGACACGGGTAAATCTTCAAAGGGAACAGTGTACTTTATAACTTCATTCACATCACCTTTGCTACGTTGTTTCACTTTCTCAACAATAAAACGTAAACATGATTTAAGGAACTGCCTATTTTCTTTTTAATATTAGCAACTTAACAGACAGCAGAAATGTTGAGGCGTCGTGCTGCATATATGAGCGTAATCTTTACTGTGTGGATATTTATAACTAAACGGAGCCGATAACAACTGCCTCCTTTCAATTTCAGTGAAAATACGAAACACACCCTCTCTTCTGCTGAATATCAGTTTTAATACTCGATAATTATAAAAGTATAACATACAATAAGTTTATACATTGTAGTAAATAAAGGCAAGCGATCAGTCAATGTACCTGGATTAATCATTAACTTATTTTTGCGCTTAACCAAAACATGTTACCCGTGAACAAGTAACTTAATAGATTCCAATGACCAACGTCAGGGAATTGGCCTATGTCGTTAGATAAAGACAACAACATGAATGAAATATCACGTTTAGCAAATATAGTGAGATTAGATCCAGCGGGAGATGCTTGATGAGCAGTCCGACAAGCAGAGCTCTCATCTGGGTTAAAAAGCCGGAGCGCTTGCCCGAGAGTGTGTGTGTGGTCACGTGATGTGCGTTTTCAGCGTTTTGGTGTGGACGGAGAGCTGTTCAGAAACGCTGGGTAAAACGCGAGTGTGGACGCGGATCGTTTTCATTCTACAACGCCGTTTTAAAACTAAAACGCACTAGTGTAAACGGGGCCTCATTCTGTTCCCAATACCGATCCCACACCTGGGTGTGTATTTGTTTATACAGCTATAGCATTGAATGTATTGATAAATTACTTTACGCTTTGCTTCAGACTTATCGTTTAATGAAGTTTAAAAAAAAAAATTTTTAAAGAAAATGATTCTGTCCATCAAGGCAACATATATTAAGTGTAAAAAAATATATATTTAATAAAATTTCAAATAACTACTTTCTAATTGCATGTAGTTTAAATTGAAATCATTACTACAGTCCTTATTGCTTTTATCACTATTACCATTAATAATAATAAGAACAATAAAAAATAACTAATAATATTACAGTGATTTCTGAAAGATCATGTGACTGAAGACTGGAGTAACGAAAAATCATCTTTAAAATCACTGGAATAAATTATTAAATTAAATTATTAACTACTTTTGAACAGTTATTTTATAGTGCAAAAACATTTGACAATTTTTACTGTATTTTTGATTAAAGCCCGTATATATATATATATAAAAAAATATATATAAATAAATATATATATATATATATATATATATATATATATATATATATATAAATATAAATAAATATATATACATACATACATACAGACAGACAGACACACACACACAAATTGACAATTGTGATGACTGACGGCAACTAGTTTTTAAAACTATATACTCAATATTTTTTTCAGTCCTCTTTAACGCTGTCTTTTAACACAGTTTTGCTTCATTTGAATAATCCATTCACACTTTGTAGATTCTGTCATTGATCATTGCCTTCTGTGCACTAGCCTTTGTGAAACTACTGTTCAGTAGGGTGACACTTCTTTAAATGTTTTATGTAGTTACTCGTGCTAAAGTTGTTAAACTTGTTTAACCCTCTGTTTTACTGTCTGGTTGGCCCAGTCTGAAATAGCCCAGTCTCAAAAATCAACATACTGCTAGCTGTTTCATTTCTTCTGCAATGCTCTAAACAGTGATGCTTGCTTTTGTAGCACTTTGGGTTTGAAGCGTTAAGCAAAGCTAGCAGGCATACTTAAATATTGTATCCTGTCAGTTTATGGTTTCAAATACTCGCCAATAGTGATGCTAGAAATTGCCCATTAGTTGACGCTTTTAGTGCTACCACCAATCTACATGCAAAAATGGCATATCCGGGATATGTCACTAAAAGGTCAAATGAAATTGGGACAGCCCATTTCACTGCTGGACACTGCTTTGTCATGCAGTCATTCATCATACATGGTATAAATAGCTCTATAGGGATGCATTATTTTGATACAACAGCATTGTCACACATTTATGCAGTTTAATCACTCTGTGAAAAGGCCTTAAAGCTCACACCTTTTGGTCAGTCAATTTCACACTGGGGTGACGGGGAAAGAAAGCATACACAGTGTTAATGGCTCTATTGGGGTGTGCTTTTTTTCAAGAGCATTTACGCAGTTTAATTGCATAAAAGGTCTTTAAGCTGACCCGACCATGCCTTTAGAGCAGACATGCCCAAACTAGAGCCCCTAGGCCAAAGTTGGACCATGAAAATCTTTGATTTGACCCATTATCCCATTTGAGAAGATGGGGAGAATGATGGAGAGGATTGGTTAGGGCGAATATCTCTGACATTAATCGTCATTTCAAATTTAATGTAAATTTATTTTGTAAATGAATCTGACATTTTACAATGTAAATAATTTTACCAGACGGATGGCAATGCATAGGACGTCAGGGAGCAAATCAAATCAAATCAAAGGCATGTGCAGCTAAGTATATTGAGCATTGAACTCCACTGTGTTGTAAATGGGATCATGCTTTTACTGTAATCATTTCATTATAAAAATTTTACAATTTGGCATTAGTTAATATAATTTTAAAGCAATGTTTTGTAGTCATTTTTCAAATATTAGGAAATAAATTAAGAAATTATTCATAGAAAATTGAACGTCGTACAATTTGGTGTTTTTACTTTTGGCTCACAGCCCTTCATCAAGTTTGGATTTTGGCCCTTAATAAGGAAAAGTTTGGGCACCCTTGCTTTAGAGTATGGTTTAACTTTAAAAGTAAATGGGTAAATAAATGACACTGGCACTACAAATATGCAACTAAGAATGTTAAAACTTAAGTATACTTGAACTTTTACACATATGTAAGACTCAGCGTAGAGCAGGTTTAAATTTTGAAATCATGAGTATTGTTTGTATTGTACACACCACCAGATTGTTGTACTTCTATGTACAAGTTGCATATGAGCATTTACATTTTAGCTGTAATTGGTTTATCCAGAAATGGGAAAATGTGCCTTGCGTGTCGATTCAACAAGTACCTAATAAAAAACTGAATTAACAGAACAGACTGGAATATGTACAAGCTACAGCGACAATGGAAACCTATGTTTCCTTACAAAGGATGAATACATTAACTCACTAAAATTACTTTAAGCGCTCGCTAAGCCATTTAGTCATATTATTTATAAAGTACGTGCCAATTATAAAAATTATGAAGTTGAAAACGTAGAACGTTCACTTATGTCAAAGAGGTCTTGAATGTACCAAAAATATCAATAACTAATTTTTGACCCCGCAGCATGTAAACAAAAGATTGTGATAAGGTTGTAATGTACCTTCACTTCCAAATACAAAGAGGCTTATATGGTTAATTGTGCACTGACAGACTGAAGAGGTATTGAAAGTGTACATGCGTAGATGTGTACACATATAAGGCAAATAAAGTATACTATCTCTGGCTGTCCCTGTGACTACACTGGTATATGCAGAAAAATATATACCCAATGACAAATGTACACTGTGAATCAGTGTATGAGTGAAAATTATTTGTTGATGTTAATTGTTAATTTACTACTGATGGAAAGTGGAAACCCTTCATTTACCCGGGGCTTAGAATGACCCACGTTTAAAACACTACCCTTAAAAACTTATGAATAATAGATGTCACAAAATAAGAAACCATGTTGCATTTGCCTTAAAGTGCCCTTATTGTGCTTTTTTCATTTTTTTCTTTTATAACATCATTACCAGCTGCATATAAATGATCTGCAATGTTTTAAAGATAAAAATTAAGATAATATAATGGTATTTTCTTATGAAACCATTACTCTGAACTGCTAAAATGAGTCTCACAAGTCCACTTTAGGTCTGTAATACATTTGCATAACAAAAGGCCTTCTTATTTATTGGCTGCCCTTGACCAACATCTAATGCGACTCACCCTAAAACAGTGAAGCTTGTTTGTGTCAATCTCAAACATTCATTGTTAATATACGATTATACTAGTCTTATTACATTCCTTCTAACTTTTGCACTCAAGACTGAATGAAAATCAACCACCTGCTTGTATCTAATCTACACTGCCATTTGTGACACTGCCATTTATGATGAGAATTTGAGGCATTGTGTACAGCTTAAGTAAAACATGAATACATGAAACACTTGCATATATGTTAAGTAGACTTTTATTCTACTTTAAGCTCAAACATACAGCTTACAATATGTGAAATGGACTTATCCAGCTAATGTTACTTGTGAATACATACAAACTGTTTCCTTGCATTTATGGAACACATGTACATGTAGATAGACCTATTATACAGCTATAAGAAATAAAAATGTACCAACTAAAAGTACTGGAAAAACACAAGGTAAAAACTTACCAGTATAAAAGTCCTGCTAAAGTCATGCTTCCAATGCAGGTTTGGGTTGATCAACTAGTTCTTCCAATGATTTATTATCGGGGACATGCTCAAAGTAGCATAACATTTTTTTACCATTTTTTCTTTACCAATGCTCGAGGAAAACAAAACCCCTTAGTTGATATGGTAATCAATGTTTCATTTCTAACACGCGCTGTGAACAAAAAACCAATCAGAGCAGAATAAGCTCTTGGAATGGAGGAGTTTAGAAAAAGCGAATCCCCAGACAAATTGTTTAAGACACTTTGAAAAAACGGGCTTGTGATGACCTTGTATGCATGTAAATTTAATATATGAGACCTTCGAAACAAAACGAGCATAATAGGGGCACTTTAATAACAAAGAGCACAAGTGGTTTCAGCAAAGCATTTAACAAAAAAAACAAGTTTGTATTTACATAATTAAACAACAGAAATATTGTTTAAGGCAGATAGCATGTGGACATATTTTGGTTGTAAAAAACACAGAGACCAGTTGGTTAAAAGAAAAACTACTTCTGATGTCTTGCAATGTTCAGAAGACACTTTTTGATACGATCGTTCCCACTTTATATTCGGTGTCTTTAACTATAATGTACAAACGTCATCTAAAATCTAAATTGTACAACGAATGAAGTGAAATGTAAAGTAAAGTGTTAAATTTAGAGTCTGTAAGTCTAGATACGCTTTAAAGGTTTGTTTAGGGTTAAAGTTACAGAGTTATGTTGAGAAATACGTCAAATATAGCTACATTTTAAAACAAAGCTAAAACATATATATACACATAAAATTTACATATTAGTACATAGTAGTTAGAGACACATCCTTAAATATAAAGTGGTTCAAGACTAATGCAACGAAATGTACACATTTTACGTCAATCTTCTGTCTTCAAATACGTTTTGGCAGATAAAAAAGGGTACTATCCAATGCTGTGTCCGTTATTGCTGTGATTTTGTAGGGTAGAACAAGTGAGGGAAAAACAAATGGTTATTTACCAGCTAATAGCACAGTGCTGTCTGGTGTAATGTCCTCCCTTAACTCCTCTTCACTCAGTTCTTTTAGCATTTTATATTTTCTCGGAGTGCCAGCTTTTCGTTTCTGAAAAACCCTCTAAAGAATTGAGCACAGTTGTGAGATCATTTGTAATATTTAGTGAGGCTGTTCTTTTTATGTTTGGTCATGCGTTCCTACTTTTGCTTTCTGCTCCGGGTCCATCTTTTTTCTTCCTATAAAATGAAAAAATAAAAACAAAAACAGCATTTAGGTATTGAACATAGCAGTTACAACAGTGTTTACATCAAAATAAAATTGGGCTTAATAATTGAATGAGTGTATAAGCAAAGATGTCCCCTAAATTGTATCATGTGAAATGTGCCGAACAGGCAGTTTTTAGTTGTGTACAACTTTCGGTTGAAGGTTAAAAAATGTTACGATTGTGACATTACATGCAATGTGGTAAATGACTGCAGTAATCAATGACAGGTCAAATTTAGTATAAAAATGATGATTAAATTATTATTATTTTTTTTAAACGGGGAAAATACAAAAAAATGTTCCTCTGAGCAATTCTCAGAATGTTAAGCAATTCAATACCTCAACCCTTTTTAATACCATTAACTGTATTGATGTCATCATTCATTAGAATTGCTAAATATTATGCCTTTTACACTCTTTTCTTCATATATGTTAAGCTGCTTTGACACAATCACACATGACACACTGTAAAAAGCGCTACAGAATTGATGCTACAGATTAATTGAATTTAGCCAATAACATTTACTGGAATTCATTAAATTATTTTCAATAAAAGACTAGACAATTTTCATGCAATCAATATAACACATCAAATCCACTAATAGGTTACACTGCAATATTACCATTATCAAAACAAGAATTATCCAGGATTAGGCATGGAATGATTTTTTTAAGGTATACCACGGTTTGTAAAACTCAGGGATTTTAAACCGCCAACATTTTCTGCTACACTATTCCAACAGTAAAGTTTTTTATTTTTACGTTTTGTTTGGGGTTTTAAAAGATAACAGTATCTCCAGCAGAAAATATATGCACAGATGCTGTTTTAAATTATTATGAAATCTGTGTTTTAGAAACTAATGAAGACAGCAGAAGTCAGTGATTCATTTATTTAGCTTGACATGTTTACTGCTCCAAAATATTTAAATGTTTCTCAAAATAAAATATACTGTGCTGAAAGGAGAAAAAAGTTTTAGTATTTTACCCAGACATTTAAAAAGATTATATTTTAGAGCAGTAATCACACTACTGTATATTTTTATCCAAGGTTGTCACGCCATCAGAATCTTATACTGGCCCATGCCTATCCAGGATACATACATCATTACAAAAAAACACAAAATGTAGGCAGACACTCATCAAAATCTACCTTATTAGCTTTAAATTGTACTACCTCATCAATAAATTGAATCACAATGGTAAATCAATTGTTAAAAACATCAAATAAATTTTTTTTAATCATTAAAACCACAGAATCAACAGAATCCAAAGACACTGTTGTCTTCTCATTCTGTAGATTTACCACAAATTTAATGGCATTTTCAACAGCAAAACTGAAACTTTCATGAACTTTTACAATGAATGCACGTACCTTTCCTAACAGCTTTTTCAGATGACGAAAGCATTCTGTACATTCTAAAAGCATTGCTTCCTTTTTTCATGCTTTTATCTTTCACTTCCTCAATGTCTGGAAGAGAATTCATAGCACATCGAAAGTTGGCCTTCCATGTCTTAGGATCTGGTTTGTCGATACCTGGGCAATACTTTCCTGGACAAAACATAATTGGGTAACAGGTGAATCACAATGTCAAATCAACAAACACAACTAGCAGAATGATCAACCCAGAAAGACATTCACATCCAAACGCATAAACACATATGAGCAGCTGGATTTATTCTTCATAAAAGGGGAAAGTTACCTGTGTGAATGGCCCACTTCATGAATAATGGTGCATCCTTTTCCAAATCCCATCCATGTCTGGCTGCGTGCATCCATGGTATCTGAAATATCTTTTTTTCCTGTTATGGAAAACATTTGAATAGTGTGCTATTACCCAATCCATGTACAACGAGTCGAGTGACATTTCAAGCATGTTCAAAATCGCAGTTTTCACAACCCAGAAAGACCCAAACTGCCACTGGAGTCACACATTAATATAATAATTTTTTACAGATACATAAATTTCTATAGAAGATCTATGGAAGCTTGTTTCCACCTCTGAATATATAAAAAAAAAATAATTTTGAACTTATCAGAAGACTAAATTCCTTGCAATTGTGAATTTACTACTTAACTCTTGCAGGTGTAAGCTATGAAGTCAGAGTTGTGACAGATAAACTCACAATGCTAAGGAAATATAGTGCTATCTTCCTTCTATAAGAATAAGAACAGACAGAAATGTTGATTTATAGATGACTGTTGTAAAGTTGGTCATCTATTCACACATTCTGACTCTCTCCTTAATAAAATAATTTCAGTAGAGTATTATTTGCACATTCTAAAGAGTGAAATCAATTAACTGCCAATGACTATAAAAGTACAGCATTGTACAATCAAATAAAAAGTGTTGATGTTGTTTTGAAGTCATACTTGTGTGTGATTTCAGACCAAATATTCAAAATACCATTGGTAAATATAGTGTGCATGTCACAAGTTGTCACTGAGCAAATGTGTGAATATAAAACCAAATTTACCTCAATTTATATATGTCAATTCTAAATATCTTTATTAATTTTTAATTTCCACTTTTTTTCATCTCTAGGTAACTTGTGAATATAAGTTGATATCACACACTTGTGATAATAAAAAGTAAGGATGTGAGAACCTAAAAATACAGGGAAAAAAGTCTTAATTACAAAAACAAATCACTTTTTCTGTTTCCTTCATTCAGTAGTGGAAATAGGTTGTCGTACAGATCTCTCTCCTCACCTCATTCACCCAGTGAAGACCTTTAATTTGTCCACTGTTAATCTGCTCCTCCAACCAGGGGCGCATTCGCATTCTGTCCACTGGCATCTTGATGCTGAGTAGAACACAGTGAAATCAAGATTTAGCCTTACTAGACAATGCTTATTGCATTAAATAATAACTATTTTTGTGAAAAACAAACGAAGCAGTAAATAGTTAAAGTATTTTTGTCATCAGAGAGCAGAAAACATGTAGGTTAGTAAATTTGCATGAATTGTTCAGCATTATTTCCATAGGGGTCAGTACTGATTTATGGACGATGAAGCATTTCTGAAACACTGAATCAATGCAGAGGGTGGATCGTGTGTGTGAATCCATGTGTAAGTTATATTAGCTATGATTAACTCAATATTTAACGTTACACAACATACTTTTTCTTCATATGGCTTATCATTCACATAAATACTATACATGACCCATACATTTAGTAAAGAGTAATCGAACAAGCGATGAAAGATCATGCAAACGGGCAAATTAAACCATATATTTACTGTCACATTATGACGTTTACTAACGAAAACATTTCTCAGGAAGTCATTGAAAACGTTTTGTACATTCCAACAAAATCTTGAGACCTTCATAACCCTGTTTTATGAGCCACATGTTTGGTTATTTACCTGAATGAGAAGCAACCGATTACACTCCTAAATAGCTCGATGAGATTTGATTTACAATCCTGTTATAGAACTACGCGGTAAACATGATCATGTAATATTTAGGTTTTCCTCCGCTTCACGAAGAGCAATGTCGTGAATTCTTTAAATCGACGTATGAATCGCTCGTTACGTGTCGACCGAATTTAATACAATGACGAAAAAAACACTCGCTTAGGAAATCCCGGAAGTGAATCAACCAAGCTTTTGATTGGCCGGGGGTGATTTGAAACCGCGGATTCTTTCACTTTCACTTCCGCTTCCACGTCAAGTCCCACCGCTTAAGGGAGCTTGACACTACTGTCAGTAAATCGCAGTGTATATGCCAACATTTTAGTGAATTATTAACTGGGAAAACATTAAAGTGAATACTGAAACAGTCTCAGGCCCGTAACGTTAGCCCGTAGTTCGGGTGGTTCGAAAGACCCACCCCTCAGTGACAAAGGTCCAGAATTTGTTCCATACATGAGCTCATTTGTCTTATTTTGACTGCTATGCCTTCATAAATGGTAAAATGAATCCACTGAAAAATGCTTTGAGACCAAGAAAAATCCTAGATTAAAATTAATTTGAAAACTAATTTGGCTATTTTTTGTTATCCATAAATTTCCAATCAAATCTAATGTACTTTTTTAGAAGAGAGGCTAGAAAAGTAAAGCTCTTTTATTATTATTATTATTATTATTATTATTATTATTATTATTATGTTTTAATTTTTTATTATTCAAATAGCCAAATTCTGACTGAGGACAGTTGAATGTTCTGGCCAGTTTGTAGGCTACAGGCTACAAAAGGCAACGGTTTTTAGTTTAAAACTTTTACAGATTCCTAATTTTTTTCTAATGATTTATGATGTAATACATTTGTATTTTAAAAATAAGTATTTATTCATTTTTCTTTATTCTAAATCTTTAGGAAATATTTAGGTACATTAAAAATGTCATTATGATAATGATTTAACAATCTAATCCAGCTAAAGAAAGTGCTTAAAGTGTCACTAAAACGCAGTATTTAAATCTCATACATTGTAAATAAGGTGAATAACAGCACAAATGTACACATTTTGAGAAAAAAGAACCACCCATTATATCAGGTTGGCTACGGGCCTGAGTCTGTTGCTAACTGTAGCCTATGTTGGAAGCAATACTACTTTACAAACAGATTAAATGGTTGAGTGCGTGCATTTATTTAGTTGACTTCGCTAAAATAGTAAAAACATTGTAAAGGGAGAATATAACTAACACAGTGGCAGATTGAACCAATACGCGAGGCAAGTGGCCGCTTAGGGCCCCAGGAAATCTGAGTGCCCCCACTAAATACCTAGAAGGTGTTATAAATTGTATGAAAAGTTGTGTTGTGATTAGATTTTGTTTAGTGAGTGTTTACCAATTACAGTTTTACCCTAATTATTATATCCACACAAATGTGTCCTCCAACCCCAATAATAGATCAGTCCAGCAGTCAAATTAGGTGAAGATTTATGAAATTATGAAATCACTTTAAAGCAATATATATATATATATATATATATATATATATATATATATATATATATATATATATATATATATATATATTTAAAATGTAATGATTGCACTCATATGGGGAAAACAAGACTGAGCGATAGCTGAGTGAGCTGCTTAGGGCCCCCAACTCACTAAATCCACCCCTGACTTCATACAGGAATTATTCGTCATAATCTCAACTTCCACTTGTACCAAACTTGTTTTATGTTTATTTTTCTGTTAAAGACAACATAAGATGTTATGAAGAACAAGTCAATGGCTATGAGGCTAGCCTATTTAAAATATCTTTGTTAAAATAAAGATAAAACACTATTAAGAGTAAATAGTGAGTAAATATTCAGTTATATTAACATCTATTTAGTTTGAAGTAAGGAGTAACTTTTAAAAATTTATTTTTCCCAGGAGACATACAATCATAAGGTACTTATTTTATTTTGAGTCCCTCAAGGTATAACAATTAGCCCTGGAAGTCACTGTAGTGCTTTGAAACTTGTCATGGACTATCAGGTTTTCGTTTGGGCAGTTGGTGATCCACCCAGATCGTTTTGGACTGAGTGATTTGATCAGGGTGTGAATTGTGCAATGTCTTTGGGTGGAGTCCAAACAACATCAGGTTTAGGTGGAACATGTGGACAAATTTATTTTGTGACTCAATATGACATTCCCATTGACTTCAAATTTGATCAGTCAAATGGACATTAATGGGAACAGAAACTTTTTAGAAAACAAGTCTTTAAAATATCTTCTGTTGTCATTGAGAAGGAAAGTCATAGCTACAGTTCAGGTGAATGTTTTAAGGTGGGGCTAATATTTTGTCTACAACTCCTCAGTTCTTAACAAAAAGTGTGTTATTACTTGGGATATTAAAAAAATTAAAAACTTTTCTTAAACCATCTAGCTTGAAGGATTCTAAGAAAATAATAAGTGCATTAGTAGATGATGTGAGTACCATCTCTTTACAATAAATCGCTCAATCCCTTACTCATTAAAGGTTGCTTTGGATAAAATGACAAAATGACTGAAGTTAAATATATTATATAATATACAATATATATTATAAATATATATAGTTAAAATAATTAACCCATTTTATTTTGGTTTAAAACCAGGACCCACTTTATTTTAGGTTTTTTAACTATTATATTATTGAACATGAATGTATTAAAAAAACTTTTCCAGCCATGTAAATACATATTACTTAATTTATAAATTCATTCATTCATTTTCCTTTAGTAAAATTGCTTTATTCAGGGGTCGCCACAGCAAAATAAACATCAAACTTATCCAGCATATGTTTTACACAGCGGATACCCTTCCAGCTACACCCCAGTGCTGGAAAACACCCATACATTCACTCACTCACACACACACACACGCACGCACGCACACGCACACACACGCACACTATGGCCAATTTAGTTTATTCAATACACCTGCAGCATGTCTTTGGACTGTGGGGGAAACTGCAGCATCTGCAGGAAACACAGGAACATGCAAACTCCACACAGAAATGACAATTGGGCCTGCCGGGACTTCAAGCAGCAACCTTCTTGCTGTTTGGCAATCGTACTACCTACTGCGCCACCGTGATCTTTCATTTAATTATTTCTGTTTTAAACCACACAAAACCAGGGAACTTTAAAACCTGAGTGTAGTGGATGACTGCCAGGCCCTGTTTACATTTGGTATCAAGATGTGTTTTAGTCAATTGGATGACAAAAATATACAAGCAAAATGCACATTTCTTTTTACACCTGCCATTTTAATGTCTCTTGTGTTCACTTTCATCCTCTTCCTAATTAATTTGGAGGGTTTTTGGGTGGTATTTGCTAATATTTTCATCTAATAGCACTGGCCTATCATAAAAGTGGCTATTCTTTCATTCATTCATTAATTTATTTTCTTGTCGGCTTAGTCCCTTTATTAATCCAGGGTCGCCAAAGCGAAATGAACCGCTAACTTATCCAGCACATTTTTACGCAGCGGATGCCCTTCCAGCCACAATCCATCTCTGGGAAACATTCACACACACACAGACTCATACACTACGGACAATTTTAACCTACCCAATTCACCTGTACCGCATGTCTTTGGACTGTGGGGGAAACCGGAGCGCCCGGAGGAAACCCACGTGAACGCAGGGAGAACATGCAAACTCCACACAGAAACGCCAACTGAGCTGAGGATCAAACTAACGACCCAGCTACCTTCTTGCTGTGAGGCGACCGCACTACCTACTGCGCCACTGCATCGAAGTGGCTATTCACAATATACAATTCAATAATAAAAATACTTCAATTTTAAAATGATTTTAGGATGTTATATTATTTATATATACCTTCTTAGATGAAAACTGACTAATGAATTCACTCAAAAAATATCCTGGGTTATTTCAACGTAATTAAAGTCATCAAACCTCTCACAGAGTCACACGAGCAACTGCTAATAGTCTGTCTAGTGCCAAAGTGTAAGACCTCATTTGGTCAATCCGTTTCATCTGCTTAATTTATATATTTACATAATAAAATTCACAGTTCATTCTGAACCCACCCTTGAATCCAACACAGCAATTAACCTGTCCTTAACTTAGCATACTCACACCCAATACAATCAAATGTGCAACATATTGATAAGTACATCATACAAGTAATGTTGACACAAGTCATTAATAAACCTAATAAATAGTTGAACCTAATACAACTTGAATTATTTCCCGTTCATGCCTTTGTATCTTGCATAAAAATATTTAGGTACATTTATATTTTCCAGTTAATCATACTTAAACGTGGGCAAATTCTGTTTTGTTGTTAATGTTTTATTCTAAATGGTGGCTAAAGCTGATTGTATGTCATTTGGATGAAGTAATCAGATTCCAAAAAGATACTTTTATTTTTTAATGAGATTAAGATTTTTTTAATGGGTTAAATTATTATATTTAATTTATTCTCCCTCATTCCTGTTATTCTCGTTTACATTTGCTTGTGTAAAAATTCAACTGTGTGCCATGACATTTAAGTCTAATTATTCAACACTATAGAATGTCCATGTTGATTAATCTACAAGCATGTTTCTTAATTTGGAATGATTTAAAAGAAAATTTAAAGAAATATATTATGTCAAGAATTAACTCGATTACAATTAATGAACAATTATTTTATTTATTTATTTACAAGTTTACTGTACAGGTTTTGTGCATTAAACATGTGAGATTTTTGTAATGAAGGGTGCATTACTTGATTTTTAAATAATTGAAGGAAACACTCAATATCTGCTATCTATAGTTATTTATTGAACGTCAACGTTGAAGAACTGAAATTAAAACACACATTGCCTAACACAAACAGTCACATGACTCCATATGCAGTAGGCAAAGTGATCTAAAAAATCAACCTGGAAAAATTAGATTGATTATAGGATCTTAATGTGGATTTCAATTACTTTTCAATCAATCCCCAAGCCCTATTAAGAATTATCTAAAAGAAATTCAGCTGCAGTCACAATATATTTCCTAAAGAAGTATTTGGATTTCTTTACTGACATCAAAAACATTTCCAGTGTTAGATATGTAATGATTAAGTGTTCAAAAACTTTCATTTCAAAAAGGTTGTCTAATCTATAAGGCGGGGTGAATTCAGGTAATCTGGGACACTTTTTGCAGTTTCGACTTCAGCTATATATTTCAATGTCTAGCTAAGCTAACTTTTTAGAACTGTATATTAAACCTTTTCTGAAATCCCTAAAATGTTTTCTAACCAGATATTATACCTAGAGGATGCATGCCACACATATTAGTGTTTATAATGGCAAAAATACATAAAATCTGCCTGAATTAAATAATCTTGGACAGGTCACTTTATAGGACATATTGGGCCAGAAAAAAAGTATATATTTGCCATATTTATGCATACCAAATTCCTGTTTATCAACTTTTAAAAACTGTGTATGTGAGAGAGAGTGTGTAGGTGTGTGCATGGGTGATTGTGTGAGTTTGTGTACTGAACATTGTACATTCCATCTCTGTACCACCTAAATAGCTGGTTTATCCTTGCTTTAAGCAATTATGAACTTATGCTATATTTAGTACTTCCAGAAGTCCACATTAACACCGATTAGTCACTATGGCATATGTTACCCATAGTCATTAAAAGATAGATAGATAGATAGATAGATAGATAGATAGATAGATAGATAGATAGATAGATAGATAGATAGATAGATAGATAGATAGATAGATAGATAGATAGATAGATACTCAAATCATGCTCAAATCATGAAGAACTCAAATCATGCTGTTCCACATTCCACAAATATGCTATATTTTCAACACTTTAATACATATTTAGTTCCTTAATTAGACCACAAACATAATTTGGCAACAATTGAGAACATTATCTTATTTCTGACACGTTTATGTCCTCAACATTAATCTAGTCAGAGTACTACTTCACTGACCTTGTCATCCAATTCCCAGGAGAGTTTCTTTTTTGACAAGTGCCCTATCCACCCCAACACCCCCTCTGTGGAATCCCCCCACATAAAGTCATGTGATTTCACTCACATGAAGTCCTTGCTAAATTTATAATAAAAGTCCCGTTGACTAAATTTAGTTAGAACAGAAATAAACACACTGAACCTTAGGTGTCCCAGACCACCCAATGTCCCAGGTTACCCAAATTCAGCCTATTAATCTTAATGATCTTGCTTTCTAGCTGAGGCGATTGCAAGTTTACAATGTATTGTAGCCAATAAATATGCAAAAAGACTGAAATTATGAAAACGTAAATAAATACACGCTGCAATGTGCACAGTCGCGTACAGATGGCGCCAACGTACCTCGTTTAAACCCGGAACTGTGGTGGGCTGGACTTCTTTTTCGCGGGAAGTTCTTCTGTTTAGCCTCGCATCTGTGCATTACAGTAAATCATATCAGGGAATTTAAATAACCACAGAATCCACATTCTTCCAATAAGCCATGGATGTTAAAGGAAAGGACGAAATAGTGCAGCTCAACGGGTAAGTGAACGTGTTTTATTGATATACTGATAAAAGTCATTGTCAGCACTTGGTTGTAGCACAGTATTGGGTTTGTGTTTATGAGAAATGTTTTAATACTTGTGTACAAGAACTGCACGTTTTATGACAGTAGCAGGATAAATTTTGCTGAAACTACATGCTTCTTGAATATTTCATCAACTGATATATTAACTGTATATATTGATTTAGTCAAAATTTAACTGGCACATACCGAAAAAGGCGAATTGACACGAGGGTGAAAGATTTTGGAGACACCATGGCAGCATCAACATCACATGAAATTGAGATTGAATGCAAGTAAAGTCATTTGAAATGTCATAAAACCTGTTAGAAAATAAAACCTTAAAATATGGCTGAAATAATGTCATTTTTTTCATAGCAGCTATAGATATTAACATTTATATACAGTATAATGTTCCCACCAATAAAAATTAAATATAATAAATTATAATTTAATGTACTAATGTATTTATTGAGCCGTACTTATATAAGGAATATCTGCCTATCCATCAGTGAAGTCAGTGACAACTTGTGACATGGTCTCTGTTATTGTTTACCTATAGCTACTTTGCATATTCGGTCTGAAATCCCAGGTAAGTGTGACTTCAAAACAACATTAGCACTATTTAATTGACTGTGAACATTGTTTTACTTTGATAGTCATTGGCAGCTAATGTGATTTTCCTATTTAGAATGTGCAAATAATACTTTTCTGAAATTGTTATTAAGGGGAAAGTCTGAATGTGTAAATATAAAACCAACTTTACCTCAATCCGTCCTTCCTTCTATCCATCTTCTCAAATGTTACAAATATATTGTAAATGGAATAAAACAATAACACTTTTATTGTATTGATGCTTGAAACCCGCTTTAATCCATTCTTCAATCCATGAAAATACCGCTCTGCATAGAAATAAATGCTGCTTTAAAGATATAATAGGTTCTCTGAATTTGAAGTAAAATTTTATTATGTGTCTTTGTCTTATTTTTGAAACTACCAATTCAAACATTACAACTTGAAGTACAATATATCGTTTCAGCATCGATTTTGCAATGGGCACATCCTCAATAATCACATCACAGTGATTTGCAATGTAGTTGAGATTATAGTTGACCAGCCATTACAGTTAGCAACATAGTGGAGTCATTTTCAATTTTAACCAGAGTGAAAGTTCATTATTTGCATGTGTTTTTAAGGCTCGTGACTGTTACAGTAAATTAAATGTATGTAGCTTAAAGTGTACATTATATATAATTATTTACTCAATGAAAACAATACATTGTTGTTGTTGTTATTATTATACAGTGATTATTTTATTTCTGTTTATGAATACTGTTTGACTCCCCATAAAATCAAAAATCATTGTTTCTTTGAATCTTTTCTTACTGTTGTATTAAACTTTGCTTGTCATTTTTAAAATTAGCCTTCACTTTTTGTAGATGTACTCCCCTCCAGAAATAAATCTTAAATTAATCTCAAAATATGATTTATTTACAAGCTGTTCAAGTCAACTGGTCAAATTGTGTTTATATCGATATTATGCATGGGACGATAACTGTTTTCTAGGTATACCGCGGTTGGGAAAAGTCAGGGTTTTAAAACCGCCAAGATTTTCCACTGTACCGTTCCTACGGCATGTGTACGTTTTTAAAAAAAATTTAAATAATTTTTAAAAAGTTTTTTAGGACAACAGTATCTCCAGCAGAAAATATGTTTTAAATCATAATGAAATCAGTGTTTTTTTTTTTTAAAACAAATGGAGACAGCAGCAGTCAATGATTATTTTTCATTATTTAGCCTGACATATATTTACTGTTCTAAAGTATTTGATTTGATTTGAATTTTGATTCTTGAATTAAAATATATTGTGTTCAAAGGGGGAAAAGTTGTAGTTTTCCCCCCAGATATCTAAAAAGAACATATTTTAGGGCAATTATCACAATAAGGACAAACAGTATTTTTATCCAAGGTTATCATACTGTCAAAATCTTATTGCGGCCCATGCGTAGATACACTCCCCAATCAGTCCCAAGTTTATCTTAAATTAGGAATTCTTTATAAACTATTCAAGTCATCTGGTCAAATTGCATTTATATCACTATATATATATATATATAGCAGTAAAGAAAAATATTGCAATGTCAGTTTTTTTCCAACATTGTGCAGCCCTAACTTGAAATGTCTGCAAAATGACTAATACATTTTTGAAGCAAATTTTAATTTTTAATCATTCATTTAATGAAAAATACAATTGGCCAATGATATATGAATCTATGACCTTAAAATTGGTTATATATCTACAGTGCTCATCATATCCAAGTACACCTCTCACAAATCTATCTTTTAAATTCATATTTCTTCACATAATAGGAAGCTATACAATATTATATTTGTGCATTTACTATAAATTAGTCAGTACTGAAGCCAAATCTGGGGCTTTTCTAACAAAAAAACGTACGATAACAGTCCGAAAACTAGTATACCCAAATTTATGTTATATTAAAATATAAAATACACAAATTATAAAAGGGGGAAAATCAAGAGAAGCGAGGAGTTGAAATTTTTTAGTTAGTTGAAATTTTGTTGTTTTGTTTTGCAATATTTTGCTTGAATTTAATTGTTTTATCTTTCAATTTTTAAATATGTTTAGTGACTAAATTATTATTTTAATAAATATATCTGTTTAATAAATCTGTTTTGTTTAAAAGCACCTAAATAAATTGCAAATAAATAAAAAGCATTTAAATAAAATAAATGTTCACTGAGAAATTAATAAAAATATTCATTTGCAAAATGGTCTGACTGTTTTATATTTACCTCTTCTTATTTTCTAAATACTCTAAACCATTAAGTATCTCGTTTGACATTTTGAAGACAAAATATCAGTAAAAAAAGTGCATCTGAACATTACACTAAAAAAACATGCACTTTTAAAAGGGTAAATCCAGAGAACTGATAATAACAATAAAGTCGTCTTTTAAATGAGTCTTTCCTGAGCTTTAGGAATGATTACTGCCCTCTTGTGGCTATGTTTGGCATCTTCACCATTGGAAGCACAGTACAAAATCTTTATTCAATGACATTTTCTTCTAATCATAATCAAATCACATTAGATCTAAAAGGAACTTTCAAAACTCCATGTCATTCATCTATATTCGTCAAATGGATTTCAGATAACTACACATTTTACAACTGTATAATGACTTTCTCAGCTTTGTCTCACTGCGCTGGCCATTAGCTTCAGATCATCAACCTTCTGTATTCAACCATTAGATTCTTTCTCTATGACACACACACACACACACACACACACACACACACACACACACACACACACACACACACACACACACACACACACACCTGCTCTGACAGCTGCTCAAAAAAAAGGCAGATTCACTAGAGACATTAAGAAAAAGTATGAGTCAAATCAGATGGGTCCATTAAATGTTCACACATAAATCCCAATGCATTTCAAAGACAGGCACTGAGATGTGTCGCAAAAGGTGTAATATCACTTTAAGCTGAAATGGAAAGCCCTGGAGGAAAAGCATGTGATGATAATGTCTGTCAGTACGCTTATCACACATGCGGACCATCACCGCCAGGGCATTGGGGATGCTATTGTTAAGATTAGCATAAGTGAAGATGTAGTATTGAGCCGAGACAATAGGCAAGTTCTATACTAATGGGAAGCTCTTTGTCACACTTGGTAAGGGATCAGCTAACATAAATTTTTCAAATACGGATGACTGGAGACCATTTTTCGGATCAGCCAAAAAAAGAGGACACCAATGTAATTTGCTTGCCATTTATTACAAAAACAGCACTGCAAGGCACATTTGGTTTAAACAAACAGAACTTGGAACCTGTCATTTTATTCAATATAAAATGAAGAAATAAACAGCTGAATAAAAATACCTTGTAAGATATTCAGTACTTTGAAAAAATACCACTACTTTTGCTGATAACGCCAAATGTAGTAATCTAACATTATAATTTATACAACCCATATTTATTTTTTTTCTCATTTTCAATGAATGATTCAGTTATCTACTCATAAGTCTTCATGTTTCATAGGTAGGTAGATCAATTTACAGATTTATTCAGTGGCTTATTTTTGATGACTGGTTGTCTGGTACTGGTTAAAAAATGTAATTACTGCCTGCTACAAGTTTCATTTTTGAGCATCATTAAATGCATTTAACAATGATTTTAATCATTACCATAAACCTCAGTGGTTTAATCTAAACTATAAACTGCTATCACAACTATTTGTAACTTCATAACTAACTTAAAATACTACTTGATCTCTTTCTTGATTTTTATGTATTTCAAACAAAGATTTGATTGCAGCATTTCTAAGGATTAATAAAAATATCCATCTAATCACTGTGATTTATAATTATGTTGCATAGTGTTGAGATCCAGATCTTTCAATGATTAAACGTGCATTAAACATTATTCTTTAAATAGAATGTTAAAAAAATATATAATTTATTATAAAAACAAAACTAGTGTAATGTTGTTAATGTCTTTACTGTCGCTTTGGAATTCATTTAATGCATTCTTCCAGAATAAAATTATTTATTACTATTATTTTATGATTATAAATGATCATATATCCATATTATATCCAAATGGAAAACTCTTTGAATCATAGAGTTGAATTGTTACAAAAGCTTTCCATTTCAGATTAACACAATTCTTTTGGACCATTTCTCTTATAAATGAATATATTTAGCAATTTATTTGATCATATGAGTCCATTTGATGCTTAATTCAGCCTATTAAATTTACCATTAAGGTTTGAAAAAAAAAAAAAACATTTTCATTCAATAGAAACTTCTAAATAGAGCTGCACGATATTTAAAAATTCTTATATTTTTATATTTTGTTTATATATATATATATATATATATATATATATATATATATATATATATATATATATATATATATATATGATATATATACGATGGTTTGAATAGCTCTATTTGAACATAATTAATCATTCATTTAGATGGATTGGGGTGATTTTTTTTTAGGCTGAGAAACATGTAAGAAGATAATAAACAAATTGCATACAAGATTTATTACACTAGAGCAACGAAAAAATAATGTAAAATAAACGGTGCTTTATGGTTTTTCAGTAAAGTCAAACAGTATTCAGGTACAGAAATTGAATAATTAAATGAAATATGACACTTTATAGTCTTCATTGTCTTAATAATCCAGTAAAATTATTTTTACAAATGTGCTTTTTGGTTGCTGAATGATTTACGCTGTCTTAAAATGCCTTTAAAACGCATGCAAATTATCATTTTCACTCTGTTATTGGTTAATCTTTGTAATGATTTTGTAATGACTTCACAAATCTCATGTAATCTCAACTGTCGTGTGTGATCAACTATAATCCCAACTCACCATTGCATATCCTGCGATCTGACTATTGCGGACACACATATTGCGATATTGATGCTGAAAAAATATATGAAACGATATATTGTGCAACTCTAGTTCTAAATGATAAGAAATGAATTTTCTGCAATTGAATGGCTTCTTTTAGATTTAAAGTAATTTTTTTATATATATAATTTAATTTACATGTATAGATTTTAATAGTTTTGAATGGCAATGTTCTAATGTTGCAAAAACCTTTTGGATTTCTTTTTTTAAAATGTATGATTTCTGCCACAAATTTGTTATATTTTTAACACCTGGTATTTTATGTTCACATGGCAGCAGGTGTTTTTTCAATGTATTTCATCCATTTGTTTTTCAACCCATTAGAAATCACAGTGAATGCCTTACAAAGAAGAGACAGGACTACCTGGAGTGGCCTGAGTATTTCATGGCTGTTGCCTTTTTATCAGCACAAAGAAGCAAGGACCCCAATTCTCAGGTACCCAAAATTAATTGCCAAATGTTAATACGAAATGTTGACTTGATTTCCAATATGAAATGGGATATCTTTTGTGGTTTTACATTATCTTTTCCCCAATTTCCTCCCATTAAAACCATTTTGTCCCCATTACTATTACCCTAAAAAAAGCTCTGAACAATCCAGAGCTACAGTACCTCAAAGATCTCCAAACACCCTACAGCTTTTTTTGATCAAAGGACACAGACCACTTATCCGCTCCATTTACTTTAAGAACATATTCTGATTTCAGAGCTCTCCTGCTGTGCAACGACCTGCTGGCCAATATAAACACTCACAATATTTAAGTGCAATATTGAAGTTCAGTCAGGCATGATCCTCGGTCAGCTCATGCATGCATCTGTTATTACTCCTAAAGGCGCAAAGTAGGATTGCATATCTAAGAGACAAGAGTTTTGGTGAGCTAAGATATGGGTGCTGTCAGCCTCTTCCCCACTCAGTCATGCTGACAGCGATCCATCACGTTGCATCAGATGAATGTGATGGCACTTGCTGGAACATACTGTAATACATCAGGTGATTGACTCCTGTTCTGTCAGGAGTCCCTTGTTTTTCTAGCAATTCTGGACAAGAACTTGGTGTATCTGGTTACAGAATACTGTAACGATTCCAAGTCTCCAGACCGTATCGGAGGAGAATGTGGCAGATCCTGGTTGGATGACTGCGATATTAGTCATTAATTGAGTTGTGCTAGTTGGGAGAGGACAGTGTGGTTACTCAGGAGTCCTCATGTCCTACATCTCATTGATTCTTCAACCTTTTGGTTTTGTTTGGCATTATTTTTATTGTGTAGTTAAAGGTTTGTTTAAAGTTCTTTATTTTTGTTACTATCCCTAGACGTTTGTTTGTTTGTTTGTTTGTTTGTTTGATTGATTGTTGTTCTATTAGTTTAGTTTGTAATAATTTGCATTCATTGTATTTTGATACGTGATCTCTTTATTTTGTGACTCAAATTAGTGGGTCATAACGATAGTCATATGCACGACTTTCTACAATTTTATAATTGAATTTGATCGTTTAATGTCAACTTTGGTCATAACTTGACAGTCGTGTATCTTATCTTATTAGTTTTATTTAGTCACACATCTTCATATGATGTGAAGTTGGAAGTCACAGTTGATACAACTTATGGCCCATTTCCACTGAGTGGTACCGTACGGTTCTGAACCCTACCGTACCACTCAGTGGAAACGGGCCATAAGTTGTATCAATTCTGACTTCCAACTTCACATCATGTGTGACTAAATACCGTACTGTACCATATCACTTTTTTGGCACCCTTTCGAAAGGGTACCAAACACGAGAGAGTACCAAAAGGCGGAGCTAGACATGCATTTTACAGGTTTACAGAGAAATGTCATTCGCTTGCGTAACAAGCCAGAATGAAAACAAAGGAGCTGCCTTGTTTAAAATACACAGCCGAGAATACAGCATAAATATATATACATATAATAACAAGCAATGGTCGACCCGGGCTCAAACAAATCTTGTCGTCGTCTTGACGAACAGCCACAAAGCCAGAAAGATGAGCAGATTTACCCTGTGCCCCTTATTTTTTTTTACGAGCCAGTCTGAAGCGCGAGCGGTTTCGCTTTCTTGCTTGCGTTTGCCGCGCGTCTATATGTAAAATAACAAACTTCTTGAGCTGATGATAATAACGTGCGCTTTATTATTGAGGTGCTTTTGAAATCCTATCCTGTCAGAAACAGAAAAACGCGATAGTGACACATTCAGAAAGAAAAGGACAAATCTGAGAGTGAAGCGCGAACAAAAGAGTAGCCCGACAAAACTTGGGAGCAAATTGTTTCAGCAACCTGAATAACAAGCAAACTGCCATGTTTATCATCGCCTTCTGGTCTATTCTGAACTGGGGACGACAGAATTACTCTCTAACAGAGGTTACATGTGCTGGTGAAGATTACAGACACAGAAAAAAGGTTTGCACTGACTGTGGGCTATGTTGCGTGATGTTTATAAACCTAAATATGGACTAAATGTATGTTGTGTGTAGTGTTTCTGTAATTAGTAACATCAGAGACTGTAAGGGGTTGTATGTGTTAATATATGAAGCATTTATATATTTTTTTATATAATTGCAGATGTTACAGAAGACTATTTTGCACTGTCATCGATCTCTAGTTATAATCAAATTATGTTTAGAGAATGGTTAGTAATAAACATTTATAAACAAGTATTTATGTGTATAAAACATCTGTTTTGTGAGAAGTGCTTCTCATATGATTTGTGAACGACCTGTACAGCTTTACTGTAGACTTTTATTCGAGCGAGAATGACGTCGACTGAAACTCTCTGTCATACACCAACCCCACCAAAAGGGTACCCTTGGTTGTGGAAAACGCAAGCCTGATAAAGGTGACCCGTACCGACCCGACCCGAGTCGTACTGTACTGTACCAGTCAGTGGAAAGGAGCCATTATGCATTTCTCTTGTGGTGCATGTGCTTGAACTAATGTCAATAGAACAAAATTTTAAATGTAACCAGTAGTGTGGTTAAAAAAGGTATTGATATTTCTAGAATTGTTGATACTAAAATATTTGAAATGATGCATTATCACTTTTCTTTATATATGTACACGCTAAATCTAAGGATGCAGCAATTAACCGGTTTCACTATTAACTGCACCATAATTTGTCACGGTTAATTCATCGAAAAAGCTTCTCAACATTGCGTTTCTGCATGGATGAAAACTTCTGCAACTAAACAAAGTTGTGCCAACTGTGCGGTAGTTCAAAAGTTCAGAGCATGTACTCAGAAGTGATTACGCACACACACTAGATTAACTATGGCTGAGGATATTAACTATGGACTGTTCACATATCCTCTCTTTTGTCTGAGCAAGTTCGCTATTTCCGAAGGAGTGGCATAGTTTGCATGCACATATTGGCCACGATGCAACATACTCAGGCTTTCCAGGCCGGCTAGTTGAAAGAATGGTATGAGCGCACCGCGAGTCATGTTAAAAGAACTGACCTGTGAGCTTCATACTTTGTATGGAATATATACATTTCTACTCCAAAGAGAAAAAAACACAAAAGGAAGATACCAAAAATTTTTTTTATATAGTTGGCTCAAGGTTTTTTAAAGGTTCAAGACACTATCAAGTACTTAAAAAAATAAAAAAAGGATTTATTTTTTTAATTTTTAACTGATTTGTGTATTTTGAGCATCAACCATGACAAAGTTAGCACCTGTCAGCTTTAATTGTGCAGAAAACTGCATAATTTTGAGCTTTTGTGAGCTAATTTCATCTTCCAGGTTTAAAATATATTTTGGGGTGGGATCAAAATCGGTGACGTATCGCAAATCTGCTAGTGGAGAGATGACGCGTCGGTTTCTTATTATCATTCATGGCAGAGTTTTCTTATAATATAAGAAGACCCTGCATCTTAATTATTCATGAGAGCGTGTGCTTTTCAAAGCTCAAGCAGACCTGCCAAGCTGTGAGACTCAATGACTGGGTGAGACTGCATCTGTGAAAGACAAACAGAATTTAGCCGTTTATGAAAGGTTGTAGCTTTATGTGTTTGTTTCCTTGATTCTCAAGGTTTGTTGTATGTTTTTCCCTATGATGCTGTAAGGGCAGATATAGCAAAACTGTTGGTTTGCAGCAAACATTTTTGTTGGGAGAGCTGTATGTGAATTGGAGAATGGCGGACTGTATCTTTTATCACTTAAGTTCATTACCATTCAGACACATCACATAAATCCATGTTGCTGTGTTCTCATATTTTTAAAATTCTCAGGATTACCGACAGGGCTTATGGTTGAAAAAGACATTGCAAGAGACCTGCTGCACTGCTATCCACTGTTTCTGCATTCAGACTCGGGGATTGAGGTGGAGAGAAGTCCCCCTCAATATTCTAATTTTAGCCCCTGCTTTGGCATTATTTTCCAGCAGGATCAGAAATAAAATTGATATATATTTTTTATATCCTCATATTTTGGCCAAAGTACTTCCGCCATGTATAATGCTATCAAAAAGGGCTCCGAAAATCCCCCTGGATTCCTCACACCCAGCCCATGCTCTCTTTGAACTTTTGCCCTCTGGCCGGTGTTAAAAATCACCACCAGAACCACCTTTAAATACTACACATTGATGTTTATTGATTTTTTTTTCTCCCTTTTGTTTTTATTACTGTTGTTTATTATTTGTGTTCTTATTGTCTGAACTGTGTACTTTCTGAACGTCCTTTGCTGGAAGCTGTTATTGGAAAATAACATTTCCTTCTATTTAATTTCAGGTTGGTGCCTGTATCGTGAATCAAGAAAACAAGATAGTGGGTATTGGCTACAATGGCATGCCTAATGGTTGTGATGATGACCTGCTACCCTGGTCTCGCAGCGCAGATAACAAGCTGGACACCAAATACCCCTATGGTGAGTTCTGTGCTTGAACTGGCACAGTCAATTACCCATAATTATAAGACACTCTGCCAAACACACGCTCACACAGACTGGTCAGAATGCACGGCAACTTTAAACACTTGCAGAAGAGGCTTTTTAGATTTCAGACTCTGTCGACGCAGCACATGGTGTCTGTTAACGCAGTGCGGAGATGTGTATGCTCTTTTGAGCACATGGTGGCATTAGTTTTCACCTGCGTGAGGCTGATGGAGGAGATAAAGGTGGAGCTGCTGAGTGAGGGAATGGCCAAGGTCACTTTGTGGCAGCTATTAGCATGAAAAATGGAAATGAGCTGGAGCTGGCGTTCCTGAAGGCGGCACATGCCAACTGTGGACTTTGAATGGGCCATACTGCCAAAGGGAAGGTGTGATCAATCAGTCTGGTGCTCGGCTGATCTTCTGAACTGTTTGTCAGTCACACTTTTCACTCTGGTTTATGTCAGTGAAGAGGCTTGTGTAGATTGTGTTTGTTTTTGTTGTAGCAAAGCCAGCAAAGGTGGATTCCACGAAGTGTCTTAAAAGTTTAATTGAAAACAGAAAATGAGTTTTGGCTTGGTTCTGCAGAGCTCATTTAGTTTTCGGAAGTATTTGTCTGTTTTCATATGATGGTTATTATGTGAATCAGTCAAGTTTAATTCACAATAATACATTTCTGATCTGCTATGATCTGATTTCCAATTGTTATATATTAAATAAGTGGCTAAAAGCACAGGATACATAGATCAGTAATAAATAATGTATTAAAAATTACATCCTAATTTTATCTTTTGAATGATTTGGTCAAGTTTGTGTTTTTAAAAGTTTGATCAAGTTTGACACGTTTAAATTTGGACTGTTTTTGTTCTTGTTCATTGTTTTAAACTTGTAAAACTCATTCTTGAGGTGCAGCTGATCACAGAGAGGTAGAACAGATAATTTAATCCCAGTGTTTTAGCAAATCCTGTTTTGTGTGGATATATTTATACATGTTAGTATGGAGACAAGTTATCACGTGCATGTCAGTCAATTCAGTGGGTGGGGAAAAAACACACTCCTCTGTCCCTTTACGGTGGGCCTCAAAACAAAGACTATAGAAAACTCAAGACCTCTGATTTTCTTATTTTAAATGGGGAAAAGTGTCACGGTCAATATGACAAATTAAGTCCCGCCTACTGGTACAAGAGCCAAGCATCGACCGTTATAGACTGACATTTTTTTCTGGGGGCGAAGCTCGTAACAGACTTATGATAGTTTTTTTGGTCTGCAAAAAGACTGGAAACTCAGCGAATACTTGCTTCACAAACATCAAAAATATATCCACATAAACTTGAAATCTACTTAGAAATTAACCTAGTGAACTGGAAAATGAGTTTTTTTTTGGTTTAGTAATCTGTATGAAACAAATGCGAGGTACAGTAAACGTGTACATGTAAACAAATTTGTCATGTCACATCGTTGTCATTTATGAAGGAGATGAAATTATTTTTTTTAATTTTGTCCTTTTCCTTTATTGGCTGGTTTTATTCACTGTCTATAAAAAACAAGAATCATCTTCAAGGCATTAAGTTGTTCTCAAAAATTTTTAGGAGTTCCCCAGCGAAGTCTTGCATACTATTACGAGCAGCAGGTGTTGAGGAAGGCACATAAAATACTAGGAGACCTCACACACCCCTTAAACAAATATTTTGAGTGGATGCCACTTCATCGATGCCTAAAGACAAAAAGATGTTCCATAAATTGTTATTAATTTACTTTTGTGCGTGAAACAATTAGGTTACGTAATAAATGAGTTGATTGATGGATTGTTATTATTTTTTATTGTTATTTATTTATTTATTAATTAATTAATTAATTAATTTATTTTTGTGTACTTGATGTTAAGTGTTAGTGTTTATTGTGTTAAGTGTGTCATTCTTGTTGTATGTGAAGCACCAGCATGTTGGAATGAATTGCCCCAATGGGATTTATAAAGTTTTAAACTAAACTAAACTAAGTTGTTGATTACTTCAGAAGACCAGCGCGATCAGACGATCATTATCCAGAGGATGATAATGTGTAGAATGGCCATAAATAAGGTTGGTGTCGTGATCTCGTTCTTTTCAAATATGCATGCACACTAGCTTGGGCACCTTGAAATTATGCAGATTTTTGAACGTTTAGAAACAAAACTTATGAGACAGTTGTTGTTTAAGTTTATTGGTGATTCCAAATATGAAATGTAATTGTAAGCTTGGCAAACAGTTTTCCCCATTTAGACAGAATGCCAGAGTATTCTGTTCAAGAGGCATTTCAAAGATGGCCGCAGAGTGAAATGACTTGGCTTAAAGTGCTTAAAATCACTGGGATACAATTTACAAATACAAACTTGTTGTGTTTATATCAATCTCGTGTGACTGTGGACACTATACCTATCACAGTTCTGTCCAAACAGTTTGTACAGGTGGCCTTTAAGACTAAAAATGTGCACTGGGAAAGTATTGCTACATTGTGAATTCAGATTGCAAAAAAAAGGTGAGGACCTTAATGTTTTACAAAATCGTCTTTCTGTAAAATGTATTTATCTGGACTGCCCTGCTTTTAATGTTTGTAGAAATCTCTTTTATTTAGTAAACATGGCCATTAAATTAGATGCTGATATGGGGTTAAATAAAAATCTACAATAGAACAGGATATGGCTCATGGCATATTTATTAAAAAGTCAATGATTCCTATTCCTAACAGTAAGGCACCGAATAATAGTGATGCTCTAATCAGAATTTTTTGCAGCCTAAACTACATACTTTCTTGTCATAATGATCTGCTGATGCCAGTGACAATTATTTAGACTTTATAAATAAATCAGATGTTTGAAGACACAATATATCAACCTCTGACTAGAGAGTCAGTGTCAATAAAAGAAGTCAGTATAGCACAATTTAGCTAAAAATTTTTTTTATAATTGCCATTTTTATAATGTGATGGAAAAAATTAAATTTACAGCATTGTTACTCCAGCCCTCTATGCCACAAGACCCTTATTTTCAATTGCAAATGGTTTAGCTGCTTATTACTATTATTATTATTATTATTAATACTATTATTATTTATTTATTTATTTATTAGTATTTTTTTAATTGTGATGATAATTCACATGGACATGTTTTTTTTTGTAAATGTTTTTACTGTAATTTGATGATTTTAAAACTTCCTTACTTAGTGTTTTGATTGGCTACATGTTTATTTGATGAGGATGCGATGAGCTATATATCTTAAAAGTGGCAATCTACTCCTTTTTCTTACTTCCTGTAAGTCTTTGGTATTATCATCATGTTATTAATGAACACATTGAGTCATTGGATTTAATGTAAAGTCACATCTACCTGGCATTATTTACGAATACAAACATTGTAAAAAATTGTGTTTGGAGTTGTGGCTCATTCATACATAAAGCACATTTTTATGCAGAAGGATGGTACATCAGTTCCATTCAAATGATTTATTTGGCATATCTCGGACTCTCTTATTGCACAAATGGCACAAATATAAACCATTTAGAGTCGGTAGGAAGTCCCTTGTAGCCTAAAAAAATCCTTGTTTGGAGTCTTTCCAGTAAAATTGCCACAAGTACAAGAGAGTAAATGATGGTTAAAATATAAAGGCCACTGGACACCATAGGGAATTTTTAAATGCTGTTTATTAAAAGTGTTTATTTTACATCTCTCTAGAATATTTGATTGTGATTTGGTCAGTTATGTTGTCCAGTGTTGAAAGTAAACTACGCTCCTCCAGGCAACTGATGTCAATGATATACACTTGCTAGGTACATTTGCTGAAGTAAATATTAAAGTTCTAAAATTTATCTTGTGTACAGTTATTTAGCTTGGTCTTTCAGATGTCCCTGACATGTGTTCTCATTTCATACAAATGCAGCTGCTGCCCTTTTGATTCTGTTATATTTATATTGATTTATACAATGTAAGCATATATATGAGATATGTACTGAAAAAAAGGAGAACTTAAGCATTACTTGTATTGTAAGGTTGCAGTGTTTATCAATTGTTTTGTACATTGTAATGGATTAAAATAAAACAAATAGGTGAGATTTTAAAACGGTTTAGTCTCAAATCAATATCTTTGTCCCCATAATTATGTTTGTGGTTAAAAAGTAGGACTATATTGTGCCCCTTATTCATCCAGTTTTAAAAAGTGCTTTCTTTGCAGAAACTTTGCATACAGTGAACTAATAAATTATTTAGGTTTAAATCAATATTTTTTCTCTGTTTTTTTCTTTTACTCTGTAGGAAGCAGCCATTTAATAAGCTCCATACTTTACGTACAGACAATTTTATAGCAAAATAAACCTCGTCAGGGTGAAGCAAGACTCTTCCACTTCACGTCTGAGAACAGATTGTATAATAACAACTAGTTGGATTTACATTTATTTTAGTGAGCAGTAGGGCTGCACAATATTAGACAAACTGATATTGCGATATTTAGTTTGTTTAGAATATATGTTGTGATATGATTATAATTTCATGAGATGACTTTGGAATTAATTCATGTTTTTACATTAATTGGGATTATTTTGTAGAGCAGTATCTGTATAATGTACAATGCAATTGAACACATACAATTTAATTTTATGGTTTTCTATGGAGTCCAACACTATTGAGGTACAGAAATTTGATAATAATAGATAACATAACACTATGGTGTAGAGCAGGCATTTCCAAACTTGCAGGTGTCCTGCAAAGTTTAGTTCTAACCCCAATCACACACGCCTGGGCTAGCTAATCAAGCTCTTACTAGGCTTTCTAGAAACATCCTTGCAGGTGTGTTGAGGCAAGTTGGAGCTAAAATCAAATAAATAAATAATTAAATACAATTAATTTTGGTTTAGGCTGTCATGGTGGCACAGTGGGTAGCACTAATGCCTCACAGTAAGAAGGTTGCTGGTTTGAGCCTCAGCTAGGTCAGTTGGCATTTCTGTGTGGAGTTTACATGTTCTCCCCGTGTTTGCATGGGTTTCCTCCGGGTGCTCCGGTTTCCCAAACAAGTCCACAGACATGTGCTATAGGTTAATTGGGAAGGCTAAATTGTCCGTAGTGTATGTGCGTGAATGATGCATGGATGTTACCCAGTGATGGATTGCTGCTGGAATTGCATCCGCTGCGTAAAACTTAGTGCTGGATTGCTTGGTGGTTCATTCCACTGTGGCGACCCCAGATTAATAAAGGGACTAAGATGAAAAGAAGTCACAGGTATCAGAAAAACCCATCCAAATGAAAATCTGTCACTCTATTTTAGGGTTAAGCTATGCGATGACTCCACAAATCACATGTTTTGATCTGTGGTGCTGATCAACTTTAATCCCAATTTGACATTGCATATCCTACAATGTGCCTATTGCAGATTGACATGTTGCGATATCGATGCTAAATTATATATTGTGCTGCCCTATTAAGCAGCACAGAAGCTTTGCTAGAAGACATTTGAAATAATTTTTGTCATAATTTTGACTTTCTATGGAACTTTTTTTTTTCCTTTTATGGACTTCCTTTGTTTATGCAGTGACAACCAAATAATCAATGTTGTTTGCAGCACCCTCTGGTGCTGAATATTGTCAGTTCAAGACTGTTTTGAGCAACAGAACTGCAATGTTTAAAGGGATCGTTCACCCTGAAATGAAAAGTGACTATTTACACACTCTTCAAGTGGATCCAAACCTTTATGCATTTCTTTATTCTGTTGAACTCAAAATAACTGTGTCCATGAGGTCTTCTTAAAAAGTATGAAAGTTAGTAAATCAATTATGAGAAAATTAAGGCCTTTGAAAGGTATCAAACAGTCTTAATTGCGTTTTAAATTTTGTTCAAGCGTTGTCCAAAGTGTTTGATCCACATTATTGGTTTGGGCTCGGATGGTCCGGCCAAGCTTCTCTGCCCGGGTGATGCCACATAATTTGCTGCAATCGCAGGAAGGTGATGTGATGCTCTTCACAGGTATTGAAACCATAGAGCGAAACAGACGGCAAAATGGGGAAAAAACCTACACTACTGTCACGGTTTGGCTTGGTTACGATTACAATTTATTATCTCAATGCATTACGATAAATTGACAATGCTTTCCATAATTTTATATTTTACTGCACAGTACCACAATTCTTGTATTAAAATGGATATATAAATAAATAAATATATATATATATATATATATATATATACACCTTTAAAAACTCAAGTACATGCACAGACCAACTGATGAAGAATTCTATTTAATAAATTAAGAGAAAGGCCGAAAAGTTGAAAATCTCATTAAGAGAAAAGCCGAAAACCACTACACAACATGAGCTTTTATGTGTTTTAAATACTCTCGTTCGCCTCCCTCGTCATAGTAAGCTATATAATATAGTACATAAGAGATAAATGATGTCAGTACGTAATAAACGGTTATGATTATTACTGAACTGATACTGAATTGTCCTGGCCTGCATCGCGGTGCACAGAAAAATGATTAATTTTGACACCCCTACCTGTCACTGAAAACAACTGCGTAATTTATTCTTTGAAGCTTTGTTTCTTCCGAGCTTATCTGAGTTCTGTTGCATGGTTGTGCTCCATTTAATTTATTTAACTACAACTGTTTATTAAGTTTAAGGTTAATGATTAAGAACTTGAAGTGGTGATGAGGTCTTAAAATCATTTAAGAAAGGCTTTTAAAAAGGGTATTGAAATTAGCTTTAGGATTCCTGCATATACTCTGAATATTATATATATAATATTATGAACCTGTAACCGTTGACTTCCAGAGTAGGAAAAAATATTATGTAAGTCGATGGTTACAGGTTTACAACATTCTTCAAAATATCTTCTTTAGTTTAACAGAAAAAAAGGTTGAGAGCAGTAAAAGGTGAGTAAATGATGGCTGAATTTATTTTTGGGTGAACTACTCCTTTAAACTTTCTTTCATTTATTCATTTTGCTTTGTTCATCAGGGTTTTCCACAGCGGAATGGACTGGCAACTTATCCAGGATATGTTTTACACAGCGGCAGTCTTTCCAGCTGCAACCCAGTACTAGGAAACACCCATACACACTCACATTCACACGCATACACTACGACCAGTTTAGTTTAATCAATTCACCTATAGTCTTGTCATGTCTTTCGACAGTGGGGGAAACTGGGAGGAAACCTATGCCAACAAGGGGAGAACATGCAAACTCCACACAGAAATAACAACTGACCCAGCCAAGACTCAAATCAGCAACCTTCTTGTTGCAAGGCTACAGTGCTAACCATTAAGCCACCGTACCGCCCCTTTAAACTTTTTGCTGTGTAATTGCACATTGCTTTAATCTTCCTTTTTAACGAGCACATTTCAGAGGATTTCAAAAAACAGGACTGTCCCTAGAAAATAGAAATGTATGTATGGTCATCCTATTATAGAAGTCCCCTCTGCTTTGTCAGTAAGAGGATCACCCTGTAATAACACTGATAATGGCATAACGGAATCAAAATATATCATATAATTTAAGATATTTAACTCTTTTGCATTATGCTCAGTTTGCATTATAATAAATCAAGACTTTACATTTTTATTTGCATATTTTTAACAAAGCATGACACTTTGGAGAACTGAATGTTACACTTTTTTGGGCATTAATGTTGACTGCTTAGTTATTTATGCTGATTTAAGCAAATCCAAAGTATGAACAACAACAACAACAACAATAATAATAATAGTCATCCGGGTGCTCCAGTTTCCCCCACAGTCCAAAGGCATGCACTATAAGTGAATTGGGTAAGCTAAAATTGTTCGTAGAGTATGTGCCCACAGCTGGAAGGGCATCTGTTGCATAAAACATATGCTGGATGAGTTGGTGGTTCATTCCGCTGTGGCGACCCCAGATAAATAAAGGGACTAAGCTGAAAAGAAAATGAATGAATGCATAATAATAATAATAATAATAGTGGTTCTTTTTTTCTTTGTACTGTTTGTGTGATTTTGTGCCACTAGAGAGTGCTGAAATACCAAATATCAGTCATATTGTTTTAACTTGATTTCCCTGTGAACATAATGCCACTTTCACCTTGTTCTCTGAAAGAAGATTAGGTTTATATGTCTTAGCCAGAGAGAATAATGCCAGTTGATGTTGTGTTTTGTCTCACTGCAGTCCATTAATAACAATTTCTTGCGTGCTACCTTTAAATAAATGACCGAGCAGTCAGATTAATAGCAATAAACATATATTGAATGTTATTTTGATGGATTTAGGAGCTCAGTCCCTCCCACGTCCACACGCTTGATCATACTCCATCATGAGCATCATCATGCTTTTCTCTCAGATGTGTGTTTGCGTGTGTGTGCACTTCCAGTTAAAATGCACTGTGTGTGTGTGTATTATTGACATCTCTCTTCCATCATAACTACATGCCCCCTCTCTCGTTCCCTCTGCCTTGTGCTGAAGCTCTGCCAAAATAAACGTGTGTCAGGCTGGTGTTTGGTGGTGCAGTGGTAATGTGCCACCGCTGATGGGCCAATTCATTCTCCGTAATTAAGGCGAGCAGAGTGAGTGATTAGACAGAGCTTTTTCTGGGTGATGTTGTGGAGAGCTGACATCTGTTCAGACTCATGCTTTCAAATCTTTTTTTTTTTTTCCTTTTTTTTAACCGTGAACTGGTGACTGGAGCCTTTTTGTGGTGGAACAGTACAAGCCAAGAAAGCACAGTGCATCTTTGTTGCGAAGCAGAAATGTTAATCTCGGCTATAATAACGCATCATGCGTATGTGAGCGCTCATGACCTCTGCATATTGCTAACTGGTCTTTCATGTGTTTGTTGCAGTGTGCCATGCAGAGCTGAACGCCATCATGAATAAGAACTCGGCAGATGTCAAAGGTTGCAGTATTTACGTAGCGCTCTTCCCATGCAACGAGTGTGCAAAGCTCATTATTCAAGCAGGTGAGTGTGTGTGTGAGTTATTGAGTGTGTATGTTTTGGTTTTTCATTCAATATGATATTTTTTTTTTTTTTTACCTGAAGTAAATGGATTATTTATTTAAAAGTGATTTTTATAAGCAGTAGGTGGAGCGTTAATTGAATTTGATCCAGGTTCTTTGCTTGCTCCATATATACTCACCGGCCACTTTATTAGGTACACCCAGGGTTCATACTGTCCTGGAAAAGTCATGGAGTTTTAACAAGGCTTTGGAAAAACAAATAAACAAATAAATGTTTAGGAAAAGTCATGGAAATTTGTTTAACAAATATCTGTTTATTTAAATATATTTTAGATGATAATATTGGGTACATTTTAAATACAATAGTGCAGTTTGTTTCTTCACAAGACATTTGCTCTCTTGAGTGAAAAGCAACTGGCTGTTTAAGCTTTGACTCTCCTTCACTCGCATTCATTGTAGTTTAAGCTACATTTTGAGTGTGGTGTCCAGAAATCTCTTACTACGAAGGTAAGATTCTGTTAGTGCTAAAGGCTAATTTGTACTATTTTTATGACAGTCTTATGAAAACACAAGGCAACATTTCCAAAATATTTTCACATCGACAACAAAATACTTTCTAAAAACTATATTACAGATAAACATAAACTACATAGATTGTCACATATTTGTACGTAGACATTGTAAGAAACATTAGGTCATTAGATTCAACAAGGTACTGGAAATATTCCTCAGAGATTTTGGTCCATATTTATCTGATAGCATCACACAGTTGCTGCAGATTTGTCAGCTCCACATTCATGATGCCAATCTCTCGTTCCACCACATCCCGAAGGTGCTCTGTTGGATTGAGTTCTGGTGACTGTGGAGGCCATTTGAGTACTCATTGTCATGTTCAAGAAATCAGTTTGAGATGATTTACGCTTTATGGCATGGTGCTTTAACCTGGTTATGCTGGAAGTAACCATCAAAAGGTGGGTACACTGTGGTCATGAAGGGATAAACATGGTCAGCAACAATACTCAGGTAGGCTGTGACGTTGACATGATGCTCAACTGGTACTAATGTGCCTAAATTGTGCAAAGAAAATATCCCCCACACCCTTACACCACCACCACCAGCCTGAACCTGAAATGTATTCAGTGGACACAAGCCCTAAGCATGTACTTCTGTTCTGGTAATAGCATTAATGTTGCATATTGCAGCAAGCGTGTTCAGCGTATGCCTGACTGTAATGTGTTTTTCTGTGAGGGTGGATGGGGCAAACTGAAATGCCTGTTACAGTTTTTACAAGCTGCATTGTTGAGCACAGTGGCAGTAAGAACGTGACATTTCACATAACTTTATTTTACAAACATGTAATTTCTTAATAACCACAGTAAATATTTCCGTTTATAATGCATACAGAAATGAAAGCCTTGTGCCGAACGATTCTATACACTTATTGTTATATATATTTTTTAATTGTGTCAAACTCTTGTAATTTCTCAGAAATTTTAATACAGATTGATTTTCAATCGGTAGTAATCAAATGAGAGAATAAAACATGATCAGTTTATTAAATCATTTGAACTATTTGGATAAAATACAAGTAAAATGTTTCACAAAAGTGATTTGCTGTTACATTTAAAGTATTCTTTAAATATTATTTTAATAACTACTTTCTATGGTACAATAGTAATATTGTTCAAAGTAGACCATCATTTTAGGATGGGTTGAAATAAAGATGTTTCTTGGCAAGTCTTTGACGATACATCTGACCAAATTGTGAAATGTTTAATAATAATAACGATAATAGTTCGTTACATTTTTATATAGCTTTTTTCTGGACACTCAAAGCGATTTATGTATTTCTGGGGGAAATCTCCTCATCCACCACCAGTGTGTAGTATCCACCTGGATGGCACGACGGCAGCCATATTGCACAAGGCCTCACACTACACACCAGCAGACAGGTGAGAGGAGACAGAGTGAAGAAGCCAAGTATGATATGGGGATGTTAGGAGGCCATGATGCACAGATGCCAGTGGGCAAATTTGGCCAGGTTGCCGGGTTTAAACCACTACTCTTCTTCGAAGGACATCTTGCGATCCTGAGAGTCGGGGCCTCGGTTTAACGTCTCATCCGAAAGACTGTGCTCACTGAGCAGTATAGAGTACCCATCAATTTTAGGACTCACAGAGACCACAGGTTGAGCACACACTGGTGGTCTCACTACCACCAATTCCGGCAGCAACGTAGCTTTCCATTGTGGTCTCCCATCCGGGACTGACCGGGCGCAGCCCTGCTTGGCTTCAGTGGGCGACCATGTGAGAGTTGCAGAGAGCTAGTCACGGAGAGCTAGCTGCCAGCTTCATAGAGCGGTCCTGAAGATTCAGAAGTTCATGTGGAGTGTCCACATATAGTGAGACTGAAGATGCAGAAACGTATTGTGTCTGGCACGCTTGAGTTTGTGTAGTAGACTAAACCACTTGTTCATATAGAGACATGCAGAACATACTCCTGCAGATCATAGAAACTAGTCCAAGGCATAATTTGGTTAATTTATCCATAAGTCTGAATTTTACTTTGCTTTTGGATTCATTTTACTGCATAATAGGTCTCCAAACAGGATGTGCACAAGTATAATAATATTATACTGCAACCCCAGTTCATAAAAAACTGGGCATTTTGTAAAATGCAATGAAATCACAAACAATCCTTTAATTTTTATTTTATTGACAAAATGGTCCAAAGCGACAATCCAACATTTTAGAGTGATGGATGCAATAGCAAATGTCTGTGAGGTTTCAAAGTGAATCACTGTAATTTTTCTGACAGTTGTTATTACCATTTCTATTTTTCCTTATCTAAACTGTGGCTGAGTATCTATCTACAATTAAATTGTTGTATTCCTTTCATTTAATGTGTGTCCTGCACACTATTAAGAATATTAAGCTGAAGCTTGACTTCACAAAATTGAATCGCAAATCAAATCGCAATATCAGTCAGAAAAAGTGTAATTAGATATTCATCAAACTGCACAAATCTTTTTAGCTTTTATAAAGCAGCTTTATGCAATATTATGAAAACCATCGTAAACATGGATCTCTGTGAAGGAGTTTTCCTAATGCAACTTGAATTACCTATGAAAAAACACAATTATGTATATGAAATAAAACAAATAAACACTGTAAAAATTATCTTTTAATTAACAGGTTCCAAGTTTTGTTTATTTATGCTTGTGAACTGCATTATCTCTATTTTCTCTGCTCTGTCAACTTTTATTGTTGAATATTCAACAGAATTTTAACAGATTGACTTTGATATTTTAGTCTAAAACAAGATATTGTTTAAGAAATAATATATATATATATAGAACTTATTAAAATTGTCAATAAAAGTCACCTTTTCAAACATTTTAACACCAAAAGCTTTTGGAGAAAAGATCAAGATCCCATAATACAATTCAAAAGCATAAATAAGTAAAAAAAAACATGAATCTCAAAATATGGAAAAGTGTCAATTTACATATATTTGTTTTACAATGTAGGTTAAATTTTTACATTAATACTACTTCTACTACTAATAATATTAAGAATTCCTTACATTTATGTAGCACTTTTCTGGACACTCAAAGCTCATTACACATTGAAAAAAGTCTTCTACACCCGTGTGCAGCATTCACCTGGATGACAAGACGGCTGCCATATTGCACCAGACCGCACACCACACACCAACTGATTGGTGGAAACCAGTCATGTATGATATGGGGATTGATAGGAGGCCATAATGGACAGGGGCCAGTGGGCAAATTTAGCCTGGATTCTGGGGTTAAGCCCTTGTCTTTTTTTTTTTTTTTAATTTAAAGTTTTTTATTTTTTTGAAGGACATATTTGGATTTTTAATAACCACAACGAGTCAGGACCTTGGTTTAACATCTCATCCAAAAGATGGCACTAACTGAGCAGCAAAGATTCCCTGTCAATATACTGGGGCTTCAGGACCCACACGGAGCGCAGGTTGAGATCTCCTTGCTGGTTTCATTGACAACATTTCCGGCAGAAGCCTAGCTTTTCCCATGTGGTCTCCCATCCAGATACTGTTATTTGTTCATTATCAGATACAAAACTTGGTGGAATTAATGTTCAAACATTTTCAGGTAGTTTTAACAAAACCCTGATATCAATAACCATGATAACTTTAATTTTTAATCATGATATGGAATTTTATACTTTTACTTGTGTAGTTCTGGCATATTACTTGACACCTTTCACAAACTACTGAGGAGTTGTAGTCTTATATTATGTTAGGTTAGGCAAACATTTACCTTGTAACATTTTAACAGTAAATATCTTTAGTTCCTGAACATTTAAATAATTTAATAAAACAAAGTTAATGAGAAATTTTGTTAAATATGTTCCAGATTGTTTGGATTGTGTAGCAGCCATCAAAAGTCAGTATTTGTTTTTATGATACAATTTATTTGTTCATTGATATTATTAAGAAGCTTTACATTTTGTATTTTGTATTAAAGGAGAATTATCAAATCACAAAATCTTTAATTGTATATATTTCACAAAAAATATATAGAGGTCTGATGTATTAATATTAATAATAATAATATTATTATATTTGTTTTTATTTTTATTTGACTCTTTTGCTGTTTATCTGGTGCCAGTTTGACTGTACTTTTGACATTGGTAGTCACAATTAAGAATACCCAGGTTACAGGATTTGTTTTTTGGATATGTTGACATTTTATTTCTTGCGTATGCCAATTCAAAACACTCTTTACCACTCATTTAGAAAGAGTATGCCATGTGGCACCATGCTGTAAAATGTAATCTACTGGGAACAGATATGAACAGTCACATTGTCACTGTGTAAATGCGTCTTAACACACTTGCAACCCACACCAGAGAATGGCATCAACACTGAAAAGATTTGAATAAAAGATTTAAGTTTTTTTTTTTTGACTGAAATAAATGCAATATTGTTTGAGCTTTTAAAACTGCTTTGTCT